AATTTTTAATTTTTAATTTATAATAATTAATAAGTAATATTTATTGATATTTAGTCATATTTAAACTTTATTATTATTTATTTATTTATAATTAATAGTAATAAATGATGATTAATATTAATATTGGGTTATGATTGAAAAAAAAAATTGACAATAAGCTACAAAACATCACCTCAAGTAACGTTTCAATAAACTAGTTTATAAGATAACTTATATGTATCCAAACATATACCTAAAAATCTCTCCCTTCAATTTAACGGATGTCCGATAAGAAATTGTTTGATTTTATATAATATAATGAACTCATTCTTTTAAAAGTCTAAATTTTTATTTCAAGATAAACTCATGGGATGAAAATTCGTTCTCATTTTTATTCATTTGTATAAACCAAACACCCCTTTGATAAAATATTTTTAACGATGTTAGCAAAGGAACCTAATTCGTAACGAATTGTAAACCAGAACACGATAAAAGAACCGTAAGGATCCTGCGGTAATTTTTACTAAAACACAGGGACCAATATGTAATTCACTCTAAAAACTCGAAGTCGCAAATAATTGTCGGTCAACTAATTTCCGGCGATTGTTATAATAATAAATAAATAAAAGTCGGTCCCCCATCAGTCACGCAATTCCCACCTCTTTTCAAAAAGCAAAACCCAACCCAAAAATGTCATCAAAACAGAGACACACAGAAAGCCATCAATGGAGGAATGAAAACATGGAGGGAGCAGAACAAGAGTTAGAGAGAAGAAGCCGGTTCTTGAGCAACTTAATCCAGAGAAAGAAAGCTGCAGACCAACAAAATCAAGTGAATATAAGAGTCAGAGCTTCAGATATGGCCATTGCTATGCAGAACAAAGCCTTCAAATCTGCAGCAGATCATCTTCACTCAATGCCTCCTGCAAATGTCAAGAAGATCGACAGCAAACGCCTCGCTCTTGCCCTCAAGAAGGTACCAAAAACTGCAGACTTCTTGTTTTTCTAATTAATTCAAGTGACAACACAGACATAAAACTGAATCTTTCAACATATAAATACACAAAAACAGTTGCGTAATCCATAGTATTTGTTTATCTTGTAATTTCAAATTTGATGAGCCAAGAATATGAAGATGAACAGAAAATTCCAAAAAAGATGGTCAAATTTGATTTTATGGTGTCAGATTTTGGACCGACCTTGGTTACCCATATAAATTTTGTTGTAACCAATTCAATTATTCTCTAAAAAAGAATATTTAAATATAGCTGTCATGGGACTTTAACAAATTTAAGGAACCATTCAATTATGTTCATGGTTAATTTGGTGTTGTTCACAGGAATTCGATGGTTTGTATGGCCCGGCTTGGCACTGTATCGTCGGGACTAGCTTTGGATCTTATGTGACACATTCTTCTGGAGGTTTCGTGTATTTTTCAATTGACAAAGTTCACGTTCTCCTCTTCAAGACTACGGTCGAGCCTATGCATTGCCCACGCCCGCGACTGTATCGCACTTTGAAACAGTGATGCATCTTTTTTGTGGTAATCCATCTGTTTGTAATTGTACTCGGTTTGAGACTTATGGGTTGTTGCTTATAAGTATATCCAATATCTAGTCAAATGAATGTTACTTTAGTAGCAACTAGTTTCATTCCACTTTGTGCTTGTTTGTACAAACTAAATCATTAAGCTACATGCTTCAGAAGCGGCTTGTTTTCTGAATTTCAAACAGCCATAGTTGTCATCCTCTACGCTTTACATACAAAACCAGGTCCTCATTGATCAGAAACAGATTCTTAATCAGAATTCACAAGAATGCCGAACTCCAGAGTAAAATACCACTAAATTTCAAAAAAGAAACAGAACCGAATAGCAATGGGCTTCCAGATGTGGTCGAATTCGAAGATGGAGCCAGAGATGATGCAGTACCATTGTTGAAGGTGCCATTACTCCCACTCCCACCACTTCATAAAGAAACATAAAAACAGAATCTGTAACGGGATATTAACACAAATTAATGGACCAAAAAAAGGATGATTTTTAGTTTTTTACCTTCCGGGAAACGTACAACCATCACGACCTGCGAAAATTTTGGATAAAAAATCAGTAAATTCACAATCTTGCGAGCAAAAAATGCGAATCTATGGGAAAAAATTGGAGTTACTTGGGTCTGTAGTGGTGACGGTGGCCACCCCATTGAAATCGCAGGTCCCATCCGCCATTGCCATCTGGTGGTAATACGCATCAAAGGCGTAAGTGGCGTGTGCCGCCACCGTATCCGGCAGGTAACATGGTTCACCCTGCAACATCATCGAACAATTGACCTTCCCAGGTCCACAAGCCCAATCCAATGCCGCCTGCAGCATTTTCTTGTCGGCATCATTCTTCGCCACACAGTAAGTTTGACCGGCGGTGTCATTCGTCAGCACCGATCCCGAATCCATCAAGTGTAGCACGTAAATGGGTCTCCCATCGGCGTTGAAAAGCCCCCAGTTCTTCTCCGACACCAACCCAGGTTTCAAATCTTCGTTATACAGCTCGTAAATGTAAGTACTGATGGCTACACCTGGATGTTTTGGAGTTCCGGTATTGTTCAGAACATGCCGGATTAAGTTGCTGTTGTAAGTATTGGCATTATCGAGAGTGGCGTCCGGCTGGGAGGAATCACCTTTTGAGGGCCAGCCGGATTCCGTGACGACGACCGGAATGTTTGTATAGTTTAAATACAACATTGCAAAGTAAGCTGCATCCACCACAGCATCGAAGACGTTTGTGTAATGCAAAAGAGTGTTGAGATCGATGGCTTCTTTATCCGGTGGCAGAGGGCGGAAGAGAGCGTAATCCAACGGGATTACACCGTTGGATTGCATGTAATCGTAATACGGGTAGACGTTAAGCATGAGGTACGATCCGGTGGAGCGGAGGAATTCCAGCAACTGGACCATGACCGGCTCAACCGTCCGGTTGAAGAAGGCTTGAGACGGCGGGAAGGAGTCGAGAATGATGGAGGAAGAGTGGGCGGTGGAGACTTTGATTTTGGAGTCTAATCCGGCGGACATGAGGGCGGAGTGAATGTATTTCATGGCGGATACTAAAACGGTTGCGGCGTTGGGGATGGTGGTGAGAACTTCAGAACCAACTGAAATGGCGGTGATGTTGGTGGTGGAGACGTAAGGAAGGATGTTGCGAGACACCCAATTGGCGGCAGTGGCGTTGGATTGGCCGACGGCGAGAATCTGCTGGTTTGGAACAGTAACAGTAACTTGAATTCCGCTGCCGGCAAGAGCAAAAAGCATGGCCGGATCGGCATCGTAGAGGCGGACATGGCGGATTTGCTGAGATTTGAGGAGGACGGCAACTTGAGTTGGGTTTGGCATGTCGGAGAGGGCGGTGCCAATGTTCACACCTACAAATGCATCTGCAACAAGAAACACAAAAAATCAAGATTTCTTTTAACCACAGGAAAGGCAAAAACTTTAAGGTCCAAGAAAGGCACTTTTTCAATATCTCCATGGATGTAATCACTTTACAGAATTTGTATCTATATTCTGTTTTCTTGCTTTCAAACCAACAACTTCATTCGAGGAACACAAGATCATATTCAAAGAAATAAACCCATTAAATACCCAGAAAAGGAAAAGAATTTGTGATCGAATGAAGAAAAGAGTTGACCTTGGTCAGCCGAAACAGCCAAAGGAAGAAGTAGAAGAAAGATGAAGACGTTGACAACCATTTGTTATGATCTTGATGGAAACCCTAAAAATAAATCTTGAAACAACCATTCAAGAACCCATTTGGGGGATCCAGTTGTGATCAAAGCTTCACATAGCCATTGAAGGTCGGTCAGTAATGGAAGGTCTGCGTCAGGAAGACACATAGAAAACACCAAACAGCGAGGCCGTGCCTGTGCGACAGAAGAGAAGGGGCTATTAGATTGCAGAATTGCAAGATCAACCCTTCAATTTTGTTGGCAACTTCAAAACAACCCTTTTGATGGACTATTCGAAACTAAAATGATCACTTCATTAACTATTTTACTTCAAAATTTAATGAATTTGAGTGGTTGAATCTTTTGAAAGTTCATAATTAATTGATTATGAGATTTAATTGGAGGTTTGGTTTGTTAAAAAAATTGACTATTTTATAAGGGGGAATTGTGTCAAAAAAACAAATTTACAAGGTGGTATGTTGTAAAAGATAGTGGTTGCTGTGTATGGCAGAGATCGGACGGTGGAGATTAAGTGAACACAGGAAAAGACAATTTTCCCGGTTGGAGGACGTATCGTATCCTATGTGTGTCAGTGTATTTGATGATAGTGTGTGCGTCCAATATTAATCTGACGTGGCAAATTGCTTAGCTGGATTCCATTCATCGGTCATTTCTGGACAAACACAAATAAAGAGGACAACGGATAAATGACACAAAAACATGTCAAATGTGTTATTCAACTTTCATTTATTAATTAATATCGATTTATTTTTTAACTCAAAAACTGCATGCATTGCACACCACCTATTTGATAAATTGTCCAAACAATGTCTACATATCGTTTAAGCTTGCTCCAAATTCCTAAAAAGTCCATAAAGACGTAACTTCTTGTAGATCATTTCCGATTCAATTTCAGACATACACAACAATTATACCTACTGACGAGGGACAAAATCCATAATAAATGCAAACCATAGAGTTATTGGTGTAATTAATGAAGCAAAGGGTGGTGAGATTTTAAGAACATAAAAGAATGCAAGAGATAAATAATGAATAGGAACAAATTCGTTGCAACATGTCTTCTAACAAACACAACCAAAACCTAACAGGTTTACAATCATACAAACTCCAAACACAACTTCTGTTTAACACTAACCATACATAAAAACAGAAGAAAAAAAATCGATTTCAAATGATAACTATTATACAAGTAAATCAAAGAAGCTGCCAGTCATCTTGTGCAGACCCCTCGGCATTCTCACCTGATGCATCAAACGAATTACCTTCCTGACTCCTGCTGCTGCCGCTTGAATGTCGAGTCTCCGTTACCGTGAACAGTGGTGCCCCATTTGATTCTGCCGCTAGCTCTGATGCCCGAGAACAAAAATCATCAAAATCCTCTGGAGAACACACAAATTGCATACCATTTTCGTCAGATTTTGAAAGCCAAAACAAGATCAACTTCCGGGATTTTTCGCTTGCATATCTCAACAAAGAAAAAGCATTTGTACCTTTGTCTCGGCAGTAAAATCCTATGGCCAGCGATGGGTCGATGGATTCAAGTGGAATTTGCCGTATAACACTGGCATAGGTAAGTAATCAAGAGTCAGATGCAACAGGAAGAAAAGGGTAAACTTACAAAAAGATCAGCTTATTCATTAAAGTACATACTTGCAATGGTATGACGAACTATCGGCCTCCAGATTATCCTTGCTGATATTAACTGCCTGAAGATACAACACACGAAACAGTAATGTGACAAACATAGACCTAAATAACAAGCACTCGAAAATATTTCAAAAGAATGAAAACATCATAGCATCAGAATTGTATTTTCGGCAGCAAATATTGTAAACCCGTCTAAAAAAACTAAAAATAAGATGTGATGATTCCTGTCAAAACTACATCGCCCGATTGATGAGGAATATTACAATGAATCAACACTATTTCTGCCATCTCTTACAAATGTTCATTTTCTTGGATGCAAACACACAATGATTCTTTTGATATCAGTCATGTTCAGACATTTTGCAAAAATAACAAAAATTGCTATTAGAAATTGTCATCTCAAAGTGCTTTAACGAAGGTACCAGATTGATTTTTAACATATATACAAATATTAACTGTAATAGAGAAGACTTCATAATGCGACTCTAGTAAATAAATCTATGTTACTCTAGAGAAGTCGTCATAATTAAAAAAAATTCTGCATGAGAAATAAATGAATCCATGATACTCTAGAAAGGTTGTCAAAAGAGAGACAATATACACAAGGACCTGAGCTCACTCCTAATTGGGTAGCAGACACGAATGTTTTTATTAATTTGAGTCAACTCATGATGTATCTCCAATGCTTCATCAAAGGAGGTCGGCCATAGGCATCTTTAAAATCCTACCTTTACCCAAACATGCAGGAAACAAGGTAATTGAGCATTTAATATCTTTAGCAACTTTACTAGTTGATAATAGGTTATCACGAAAGGTGGGCACATGTAAGACACTTATAAAAGCCTTAGCCTTAGCAATCATAATCTTTAAACTAGAAAGACAACAGTTCACTAAGATGCAACCACAGATAGCACTTTTTATTGCTTTTGCTGTCACATCTCACCGATTCTACCCCTACATACAGCCCCCCCTTGAGGGGGGTTGGGGGGTGAAGCAATGAGAGCAAGGTGCCCATACTGCTCCCGGAAATATACCTATGGTTAAAAAAGTAAGTCCTAGGCTAATAGCCTCGTAACTTCAGGAGAAGGGATACCAAAGTTAGGTTAAAGCAAAGGAACACACCACGTTAAAGAAACATTCTTTCCCAAAAAAACATCAATTGCAGACCTCAAGAACCAATTAAACTGTAGACAAAGCCTACAAAAGTCAACAAGTCAATGGCAAAAACCCTAAGTATTACAGATTGAAAGGGTAGCTTCGTAATTAGTTAAACCTGAGGGTTGGTTACTTTGTTAGTCTTGTTTAAGTAGTCTGGTTAATGTAAGGTAAGACTGGGTATAAAGAGTGTTATACAAACAAACGATGGTCATAACCACACAAACGATGGTGCCGGAGAGAAAAGGAACTCAATTGAAGCCATAAGGAGGACATGACATGTGATGGTAAGTCAACTGATTGATGGTAAGGTTCACTTATCCTGGATAGTCATTTGACTTTTTAACACATTGTGTCGGCCCTAAATGGTGGCAGTAACCCTGCTACAGCCATGCCATGATGCCTCGAATGTAGGTGACAATGAAATTAATGCAATCTTGGTATGAAAGCATTAGCTTGTAAAAAAGAGAGGTCAGATTACGATGATTAGCGGAATGGTAGTAGAAGGCGGCCAAGAGCATCAGGAGAGGAATTGCAGGTGAAGTGACATGAAAAACTATACCATCCATAAAATCTGTGGAAGGATCTGAAAAGAAAGAACAGTATTCAAATTCAGGCCCCTGTCTGTCAGAGACAATGGGCACCGATGCTGGTGCCTGCTAGCAGTGGGGATATTGTGGTTTATTTGGTAGGATTGAGGTTTGTACCAAGAGTAGATGGCTCAAACACAATGAACTTATACAACTATGGAATTATCTTTCTAGTTATTGACATGTAGATATGTAACACAAAAGCACAACTAAAATAAACGGTACCTGTTGAACTTCATGGGGATCAAGATAAAAAACTTTATCGTCTTGCACACCAATAATATACGTCGAAGCACCAGGCCTGCCACCCAAAATGCCGAGGCTCTGGGGGAAGGTGAATGTGGCTGCCAATAACGGCAGATACCTGGTTATATAAGTCAAATGCAATACCACGTCAAGGCAACAACCAAGAAAAGCTCATTGAAACAAGTTAATACAGCACATGGAATCATAAAAGAATAAATATCAATGTCAAGTGGTACGATCTAAGCTTGTATGCCTCCTCTGGCTGGTATATGTCATAGTCCAACATTCATTAGCCAGTAGATAACATAACTCATATGGGTAGGTTGACAACAGACTGATAGCCGAATGGAAAGGAACACCCACAATTGATCACAGTTTTAACTATCGACTGAATGCCCTATGAAATAAGCAAAACAACACACCTATTGATAACTACTAAATCCACTACACAAACTTTTCAAAAAGATATGAACTACTGATATCAAGAAATTTAATTTCTCTATTGGATTCCCATGACTCAAGAGAAATGTGCCTCGGTACTCCTTCCCTCTCAGCTACAGAAAGATACATGCTGGAGTCCCAACTTCAAAGACGAATCCGAAATGGCACGACTGATTTAAAATGATCACCACTCAGTGAATTTGAGGTTAATTGCTAGGCTATCTAGTAGATGCTTAAGGCACTCCCTCTATATGTCCAAACATATTTTTTAACAATGCTGGTGGTGTATTTCATCCTTTCTACATCCTAAAAATTCATCTTTAAAATGATGAATTTATTACCCTGATACTTGCAAACGTATTGCAACTCGATTTATCTGATCATACAATAATAACACAACTAGGCAACGGATGGTACATATTTAAGCTATATTGAGGGAAAACTAGCAAAATGATAACATGGCTTACTTCTTTACATATATAGGTAAACCAATTACAAGCTTTTGCTAACTTAAGTTGTGGTGAAACAATTAACAATTTAATACCCTTTTCTTTCCCTGAAGATAAATATTTCCTCAGAAGAGCAATATCATATTAAAACCATCAATTTAATCACTTCATGCAAAACTATTTCATATGCAAACTCAGACCATCATGAAAAGGATAGTGAATCATTATGTACCTAGGATTTACTTTGTCAAGACCTAGAACCAAAGGAACCAGCAAGAGGATAGGTGACCATTCAAGTTGGCCTCTTGAAAATTCAGAACAATGCCTTGAGGCATCTTGGATGCAAAGAACTGGAGCTCCACCACGTTCCCCATCTTCATCACCAGAGACAACATAAACGGCCATTGGGAATGGCTGGTCTTGATGTTCATTTTCCTCTATCTTCCGACGTGCAAGAGTCTCCCAAGTGCGACACATTGCATATGGGCCTACCCATGATCCTGGAGCAAGGGCATAACCCTCTCCAGCTTGAAGAAGATTGTGAATGGAGAAAGCTGAATCCTCAGAATCACCAAACATGTGTAATATTTCAATATAATCTCGATCAAACGGCTGCAACATTGGCAAGAAAAAAGAAGCCATATAAAATAGCAACCCGGTGACTTCCATAAATGAATCCAAATGCTTAGGAAAATTATCAGACTATAATTTTAGAACAGAAAGTATCAATTATTCTAAATATCACACCTGGTGTGAAGGTTTTCTCCAAGATCTGCCTAGTCGATGTATTAGCAATGCCTGTCCACATTAACAAATTAGGACACATGGAAATAGAGAAGACATGTGCCTCAAGCTTGCTTAAAGTTATCATAATAATCTAAATATGCTCATTTAAGAATATAATTAAGTGGAAATGCGAAGACCTAAGTCTCAATACCTGAGCTACTAGCATCTGACTGCTTCGAAGCATGCAACCCCAATTTACATCACTGGTATACTTTGAATCACCAATAGACACAAAACCTGAATGTAACAACTGCTATCATCTACCCTCATATAGCACAATAATGTTCCATGTTCAAAGACCACTCAGAAAGAGAGAATAAGTTAAAAGGGCATACCTTTACGGTATGACATCAAAATTCTTGAAGAAAAATCTTCAGAAAAGGCAGCATATCCATTGCTATGAACTGGTTCTTGAGATGGGTCTTCTAAACAAATTTTGTAGCAAACCCCTAGAAGCCATATATCACTTATTGAGTTAGAAATGTTAGTCTTGTACCCCAAAACACGCTCCTGAATTCTCCTCATTGAACCACCATTCATAACTCTCTTCACAGCTGCACTCCAACCATGGTTTCTACTACCTGTTTCCTTCTTGTGGCAACCTCTAGAGTCACTGTGGGTATCAAAAACTGAAAAGGCGGATACCAAGAATCCTGACCACAACGAAGCCTTGGGGGATCTGCGGTTGCTTGGTCCTGCCTCAGAACAGATGGAACCACAAATTCTATCTGGAGAATCAGTTGAACTTGTATAAGAATTTTTCGAATCAGTCCTCTCAGGTATATTCTTCATTACCTAACCATGAGCTGCACCACAATGATCAAGCCAGCTCCTAGGAGCGAGAAAATCTTGGATTTTATGAGTAGTTTAGAGATGATTGATGAAATAGTCCTACGGAATTTAAACACCAAGAATAAATGGAAACATGTTGAAGTAAATAAGTATTAAAGTAACCACGTACTAACGTTGAAATAGAAAATTTCCCCAGGTGTGTTCCCAAAGGAAATCAAAAATAACCACTACAGAGCAGATAAATTATGTGCACAATTGTGCATTTTCATCTTCTTTCTAACTTGACAATTGCTTTACCAAAGAAGGAAACAATCGAAAAATGATAGGTTAAAGTGAAACCTAAGAGCAAAAAGAGTGAGAGAAAGGGAAGATCAAATGAACCAAGAATCTCAAACTTTTTACTGAAGCCACCACGATCTATCAGTAGACAAGCACAAAGAGGAAAAGCCATCCTTTTCCAAAAAAAAAGAGGAAAAGCCACATAGTTTATAACCTTTAAGATGCACCCAGCAAGCCTCATTCCAATACTAATATTACTTTCTGCCAAATGCATGCTTCTCATGTGTAAGGAGGTCCCTTCAAAAATTGAAGTTTTTGTATGCAAGATCCAAATTTGACTCCTAATTGCCAATGTAATTCTGTGTTGTAATTTCAATACACAAGTCATGCAGATTCTGATGAATTAACTTAAAAGCAACAAACTTGTTTGGAATATGGAAAATGGAACGGTTAATAAAACTTCACATTTAAGTACAGCTTTTGACCACAAGTTGGAATACAGTATCCAAGTTCATATATAGCTCCTACCCCCCGGTGCATGAATTAAGTCCCCACAAAGTTTGTAAACTTTCACAAACAGGTATCATCTCCCAATTGCAGAGTATAGAACTAACAGCAAAAGACCATACTTAAATCTTATCCTTAGGCATTACAACCCCAAAGTCAAGTATTCCACCAAAGGACCATATATCATCAATGCAGTCCTAATATGCAATCTGTGGATCATTTTGCAAAGTTTGCCAATATCAAAATAGTTATAAACAAAATTACGAATGATTTGATGAGTAACATTATTGCACCTAGTTTAGGGACAAATGAAAGCAATAACAACCAAAATTGGCAAACTATGTTCTTATTATGAGATGGAGTTAAGCATTTATAATGCACCAAGATAGTGCAAAAAAGGACAGATCAAGTATGAGTCAACATAACCATACCTAATTGGAAATTGCTTCACTTCCGGTTATCATTCCTGATTTCCACCTATACAACAAAATTAAAACCATATCAAAAGCAAAATCAGAAAAATAGAAAACAAATTCACAGTTCACACGCACATACAGCTATATATTGACCGCAAAAATAACTAGAGAATCGAATAGGGAAATAATTGAAGGCTCAAAACATGGAACCAATTAAACAAGTTAAACAGAATAAAATTTGCTCATCAAAACTACAAAAAAGATCATCGTAGATATCAAGAACTTACTGTTTTGGACGGAACTTCGAATCACAGCAATCACAAAGCAAATATTATCAAATTTAGCTCGTAACATGCTCGAGCAACCGATTCTCGCTACAAAGAATTCTCACTAGATATTGAAGAAAATAACTTTATTACAAGAAAAGAGAGGGTTTTCTCTGTAGATTCGGAACCTGCAGAATTGAAGCCCTAATTACACATACATCACCATTGTTGTATAATCAATCAAACAATCAAAGAAAGGTTTAAACGCTTACGCTAAAATTGACATCAACGGCCACCTGCACAAGAAACGCGTGACGGCAACGTACCCAAGTTTTAACGCCTACGCTAACCCCTCTTGTAAGCTATATATTCTGACTTTGAAGACGACCATTTATAGGCAAAATTATTAGTTTTGCCACTCAACTTTCTTTTTTTTCAATTAAAACCACGAAAAATAAAATAATTTTCGTTTTCACCCATTCTTTTTGGATCAATAACAAATAATTTTGCCACTCAAGTTTCTTGTTTTTCAATTAAAACCACAAAAACCAAAAGAATTTTCGTTTTCACCCATTCTTTTTAGATCAATAACAAATAGTATAAAAGGAATGAGATTGTTTGAACCCCCGTCTTCTTTTCTGGTTGATTTTACTTATCATAGAAATACGTATTTTCAATTATCATAAAGTCAACTTATGAATTTCAATAGATGGCGTTTGGTTCACATAATGAAATCTGTCGGAATTGGATTGTGTCAAACGATTTGAATTAGAAGAAATTAGAATGAAATCTAATTATGTTTGACCACGAATCCCATTCGAACATGTGTTTCATAAGACATGGAAGATGATGAAGGTGATGTCGATAGGCACCAAGAACGGCTAATCATAAATGGTGCCACCGTTGAAAACTTTGGCACCAAAGGTGAAAAGGATAGAATAGAAGGTATATCTCTTGGTGTCATAAGGCAATGGTTTCCGGTGGATATGTTGGCATAAAGAAAATTGTCAAAATAAATAAAAAATATAACAAAGTTTGGCTTAGTTTATATTTAATGGCTAAAATCGTTGCCAATCAAGATTTTAAACAAGGAATTGTTGCCCATAATCTTTTTCAGGCACATTTAAGCATGTTTTTAGACACTCGTTTATTTTTCGTTTGGGCTTTTATGTTCAGCCCGTATTTTCAGACCCATTTTGTTACCTTGCTATTTACCTCCAGATTGTGCCTGACATGAAATTCAGAAACTTCTATTTTCTTACCAAATTTTGAGTTCACTGAACTTGAATTCGAAGTCCAAGGTTTAGTATTCGTTGAATCAAAGAGCTTTAAAAGCGATTATCCACAGGTATTCATAAAATCAACTGGTTGGTCTTCATTTTCGTTATTATACGGAGCATAGAATTCAAGATTCAAGAGGATACAAACATTACGACCATCTTTGTTTGGGTGCTAAAACAATCCCAAGTTTCTTAAAGGAACAATGAACATAAAACAATCGATCACCACTTCAAAATATTTCATCTCCGCCTTATCATAATAATAAGACACGTTACAGAGAAGTCTTCGATCACTATATATCGATCAATGTGGTTTTACAAAACATCCCAAATCGGGTCTTGATTGAATTTAGAGAAACAACCTAATCAACATAACTTACACAACCTTTTTTTTAACATTGTTACATAAGATTCCAACCAAACCTATTCTCTTTCTAGCTGCTGCTAACAACATTTGCACTGCAGCTTGCTCCAGGATTCGCACTGCATTCCGAGCTGCTTTTGCTCATGCTGTAAGGAGCCGAAGCCATCACTCTGTATAATCAAATCAAACCAAACCAAACCAAACATAACATCTATAAGTACTCGTTCGTTTCATTATAAAAGCAACCACCAAATAAAAGACAACAAAGGGTACGAAACTAGATTATACCTTTCCTTACGCTTCTCAAGAAACCGAGCCAAGGATGCTTTGCGAGCTTGAGGAACAGCTGCACACAAAGACTTTACTGTCAACTTCCAAAATTACGAACTTAAAAGTGCGAAAGATTCATATTTTTCAAGTAACAACACGTTACTATAAATAACCCCGAAAGTTATGAACTTTCTAAGACCGCTAGGTACCTGATTGCATCACTTGCTCAAGTGAATTGATGACTCGTGGAGTATCCACTTTGCTAATAGGGGTCACTGAGCCTCCGACTGTTTTAGCAGCTTCATCTTTGTTAGTGGGTACAGCGGTCGATTGACCAACAGGGTGTGAAGACACAGACATTGGGCTCGAGAGTGCTGAGCAGGGTTGCATGTTGATTGGTTCGCTCACGTAAACCGCATCTCCTGCTGGTGTTCTTGGAATGGGTGCCTGAGCTTGCACCCTCGGCTGAGGCGTGCTCACAGACGCCCCATTTCCAGCCAAGAACATGATAGCTTGAGCCTGTAAATGATATCAAGATTTTAGCTTTTTTCAACAAGATTTCCAGACTGGTGATAAGAAAGATTGGCAGACTGCAAACCTTCTCGGCAGAGATATCATCGTACACGTTCACCATGCCCCCATAAAAGATGGTCAGTTGAGCAGGAGCACAAGAAGCCTTTGTACTATACCTTCAATTGAAGAAAATAACAAATAAGATGCCATTCACAAGTGAATTTTCACCACAAATGCCTCCTAATTCACATATTTTCTACAGTAAACAACCACCGGATAAATCATTTGAAACATACCATGGTTCGGTGGTTCCAGCAAGAAAGGAACCGGCAGATGGAAGAATGGCATGTTGCTTAATGGGAGCACCACCAAACTGAGCCCTGAAGAAAGGACTCATCGCAATAGGAACTGCTTGCTTAGTATCGTTGTGAAGTTGCAAAGGAAAAGCACACTGTTGCATGGGATAAGCAGCCATTGAAAAATGAGTACCACCTTGCCTGTTAAGACCAATGCTTTTCTATATAGTAAAAATGCATCGTAAACAATCAATACATCAGTTGCTTACTTTGGAATACCAAAAACGAATCGAAAAAATTAGCATTTCAAAACAATTTCGGTTCTAACAAACCAACACAGTTGTAAAAATGCCAAAAAGGGCACTCGGGTTTTATAAAGAATAGCGAAAGAAATACTCGGTTTGGCTAAAAAATAGCACAGTAACAACCCACTCGCCGTTTGAACATTCTATTCGTTATTTTGCCACAAAGTCAAGTGCTTTCTTTGCATTTTTGTAAATATTTTGGTTGCTTAAGAGCTAATAGTCAAGTACAAAGGTTCTTGAAGCCTATTAGTCAAATAGAAAACAACTCCACAGTAAACCCCAAGATCTTGCATTAGTTATTTGCTAATTTCCAATAAACATTTCAAGAAATATGATCATAACCCTAACTGAAAAAAGATCGTTTCAATGAACAAATTGCATAGAAACCCATGAATCAATTACAAACCTGATTTTCACCAGATTGGCGGTTTTTAGACCCTTCAAAACCATCTGCAGAAGATACATCAACACAATTAGTTTCAGTCATCAATAATCATCATTAGCAACCTTAATAAGACATTAAACAATGGAAGGGGAAGAGATCTTTACCTGGCAGAGGCCAGTGGATTGCAGAGCTCTTTGTATACACTACACAGATCATTGAAATACCCAAATCAGATTAAAAACTACAAATTGAACCCAAATTACTACACAAATAAACTTTTACGGAAAAGACCTAACTGGAACCCGTTAAAATTGCATCATGAGTTCAATTAAGAACTAAATTCAAACTTTAGCCATAATTACTACAAAGATCCAGTTCTAAAGATCATGGCATGCGTATGAAACCCCATGTTTTTCTTTTAAATTATTTTTTTAACAAAAAGAGGGCCGTTCTAATTAGGTAAAGTGTTCAATTCTACTTTTTAACAAAAGTTATCACATGAAGCAACTTCAAACCGACTTAGAACAACGCATGCAATAAATTTTCTCAAATACCCACATAAAAATCAAGCGATTTAAACCCAAAAACAATCCAATAAAAGTAGAATTCACACCAAAACTGTAGAATCTCAAGTTCAAAAAGCAACATAATTGACTTCAGTCTGAAAACACACTCCCAGAAACAAACAAGAATCGAGTCCAATCAAGTCAAAATATTGCAGAAAAATGGATGAAAAATGCACCTGATTCTTTACATCCTTCAACAGCTTCTTCCTTGACGACGACCACTGAATCTTTAGAATTCAAGCCCATGAAATCCCTCTCCATCTTTCAACTACAAAATTATAATTTCCCCTAAAGATCAAAAGAAACCCCCCAAAAAGATTTTATAACCCAGAAAAAAACAAAGAAATTACCTTGAAAATTTTAAAACCCAGATGAGAGCGAGAAAAAAATGGTTGCAAATCCAGCAAAAAAGCAAGGGAGAGAAAGGAGGAGATGTGATTTTTATGTCCTGCGTGAAAGAGGAACGAAGCCGTTGATTAAGTAGCCGGTTGTGTGACCGGCTAGGCCGGTAGCTCACCACGTGCGAGAGTCTATTAAAACTTAGCTGTATACGGTACCGCAAAAATCGCCGTTTGATCGAATACAATGTTGACACGTCATTGAGTGGTAGAGGAGTTTTACTCGTGGCCTAATTGTGATGTGTGGTCACGTGGCTCTCGGCTACTCGAATATTTATCGAATCACACGCCGTTGTTTTTATCACGAGGGATACATGGCGAGGCGGTGCGCGATATTTAATACACCCCATACTTTTTTTAATTTCACGAAATTGCCCCTCGACTTTGACCTTATCGGATTTGACTTTTCACCAAAACGTTAACATTTTATCTCAAATTAAGGGGGTGTTTGGATAAGCTTATTTAAGTGACTTATTGACTTATTTCAGTTTGGTACCGGAGATAAGTTAAAACGGAGTGTTTGGGTAAAAAAAAAAAAAAGTGCTTATACCGGTACCAAACCGGTAATAAGTTGTTTTTGATAAGTTAATCCATAGTAACTTATGAAAATTGACTTATTACCGATTTACCATTTTAACCCTGTCTAACCCTAATCGATCACGTCTCCAAAATCGATCAGATCTCCAATACGTTTCTCCAAAATCGATCCTTCTCATCGATCTCTTCTCCAGGTATCGATCTCTTCTCTTCTCCAAAATCGATCCTTCTCATCGA